CAGTGTTGCTGAGGCTAACATATTAGTAAGGTCACTCTCTCCTGCCTCTTTGAGACCTGCTGAGCCAGCTGTCTTTTCCTGCTTTCATCACTGTGACAGAGACGAGTGCTCATCCAATCTCCCATGGCCGCCCCCACATTTCCTAGCCTCCTCAACTAGTGCTGGGCAACGGACAGTGACAGAGGGGTGTGGGTCTCTCCCAGGCTGAAGCAGCTAAGAGCTGATGTGCCTCCTTCTTCCCTCTCTTCTGTATCAGTGACCTTGAGAACCAAAGGCCAAGAAGGTGGTGTTGACAAGAGAGAGACCAGATCTCCATCTCATCTGTACTTCACATGGGAAAGAATTAAATTTTTCCTGTGCTAAGCCACTGAAACTTTAAAAAATTACCCCAGTTTAGCCAAGCCTATCTTGAGAGAGGGGTGATACAACTCTCTTTCTCTCCCCCTCTTCTCACTTGCTACTAGATTTTTCTCTTTTTGCCTATCCAAATTCAAGCCCCATCCCTTGAGACACAACTTAAATGCTATTGCCACTTTGTGGATCCTTCCTGAGTCACCTCAGTTGAAAATTTATTGCTCACATTGTAATGTTTCGAAAGGGACCTGCACTAACATATTATATGTGTTGGCTAATCCTTACTAAATCCCCATTTTTACCAATGTACTCTGTTATAACATTTATTACATTATTCTTTGAATGTTCACGGGTTCTTGCTTATTACTAGGACTGTAACCCCCTTGGAGGCAAGATCTCCCTACTTTGTCACGAGTAACAAATTTACTTTATCCTCACATTTTTTGTAAAGGACTATACTTTTAATTTCCAATATGTCTCTAATTTTTCCTCTTTCTCTCTACACTAAGTCCTATTCAGGCCACCTGTGCTACCTCTGTTCACTCAGCACCTTTACCTGGCACTCATGTTTGACATCTTGCCCAGACTGTTTTGCCAAAACTTAAGAGGTCACATTTAAAATCTCTCATATGCTCCTTCTTTTTATTGCTCAGCTTTTTTAAAGAATGATTTTTAATTTTTCAATTATAGTTGACATTAAATATTATATTAGTTTCAATAATATTCCCCAGTGATTATATAGCTTACTAAATGATAATCCTGATAAACCTCGTACCAATCTGACACGATACATAGTTACTTGAATTTTATTGACTATATTCCCTATGCTGTACTTTACATCCCCATGATTCATAAATACAGAGAATATTCTGCTCCTTCATTTTAAATCCCAAAGACACCACACCTATTTTGGCCTTTGTGGTCTTTCTCAATCTCCTCCCAGAAGCTTTCCTTATTCCCATTTTAATTGTTTTTATCCTTACCCAAGGAAATGTTCACTGATTTTAGAGTGGGGGAGACAGGGAGAGAAAGAAGGAGAGAAACATCGATGTGAGAGAAAAACACTGATTGGATGCCTCTCATACATGCCCCAACCGGGTATGGAACCTGCAACCTAAGTATGTGCCCTGACTTGGAATCAAACATTAAAACATTTCTTTGCTCTATGTCCCTCATCCATTAAAGGAAAACCAGGTAGTCTTGCATTTCAAATATGTGGAAATTGGCCTCTCAATAAATCATAGGCTATAGCCTATGTAAGCATATTCCAGTGTAAGTTGACATTTTATTTTCATATTATTTGCCCAAAGTGGTCAAAAATTTTAGCTCTGAACTTCATTCATTACTATATATTCCATTTGCTAGAATAAAAAACTCTCAAAATTTGGAACCTGGACATAAATGGTACCTCTAAGAGGTAGACTAAATAGTAACCAAAGACATAGTGCAAGCAAATGTCTCCTAATTTTTACTGAAAGGGTTAAATTTTCATAAATATTAGGTTATGTCATGCCATTAGTGCATGGGATTGAGGCTATTTACATTTTAAAGGAAAACAAGTATTTCACCTAGACAATAAAATCTAGGCAATTGCCATGCTAGTTCTTAGAACTCAAGATAGGTATTGAAATGATCTTGTCTGCCTCTGGTTTTATTTTATTCCTGACTTGGCAGTTACTTTCAGGTAACGGAATACAGTTAACAAAAGAAGTTTCATGAGCCAAACAGCCCTGTCACTTACACAGGGCGGCCAACATTCTTCACTAGAATCAAAACCAATTTAACAACTTGGATGGATCTCAAGGGAATGGTGCTGAATTAAAAAAAAAAAAAAAAGGCAAGCTAATCAAAAGGCTACAAATTATATGATTCCATTTAAATACAATTTTTGAAATAACAAGATTACAGATATGGAGACTAGTGGTTGCCAGAGGATAGAGTCTGGAAAGCAAACGTAGGAGGAGGTCAGTGTGGCTGTGAAGAAGAGGTGGCAAGAGGGAGCCTTGTGGTAGATGAATGTGCTGGTGCTTATGTGAAGTTGCACAGGTGGTAAAGTTACAAAGAACTACACACACACACTTATGATAAAATCTGATAATTTAGTTACTCAGGGTATTATCATAGGGGAAAGTGCTGTACAACTTCCTGTACATTTTTCTTTTGTAATTTCCTATGAACCTATAATTATTTCAGAATGAAAAAAACATTAAGAAAAACCCAGATATTTCCTTGTCACTTTAGAGAATGGACCTCTGAGATCAATCAGTAACATAAGTAAGTGAAGGGGTGGGAACGGGGAGGCTGGGAACTGCCAAAGCTCAAGGAGGCAGCTTTTATTTAGCTCCCACCACAGTGAGGCTATGCACAAGGAATTGCTGAGTCTTCTGAGTGCTGTTGTTGTTTTTATAAAATGCCAGAAACTAAAATTTTGAATAAAAATCTCCTGACTTTTATTGACAACTAATTCAAACTTTTTTGAACACTGTGTACAAGCCAAACTAAATACACTAAAAGACTGGATTTAGCCTAATGATTCATGTGCAAACTTAGCTTTAGGCCAGAGGTTCAGTTTGACCCCAAGACGACCTGCCCGCTTCACAATCTGGTAATCTCAGTTCGCAGTTCATTCTCCTCTGTGGTCCCTAAGAAAGCCTGAGAAATGGGTGTTCCTGCCAAAGTAAGAGTTCTTCTCATGCCACTGCTGAAAAATGGCACAAGCCACTAGTCACTGACACTCTGGAGAATATCAGGCTGATTACAGCTCAAACTGACACCACCGCTGCTGGGATCCTCCTGCAAGCTCTGACCAGGCCTTCACGCCCGCTGCCTCAGCATGCTGCCTGCGATAGGGGAGGTGCTCAGTTCGTGTTTCTGGATGTGTTCATTTGTTCTTCTCCAGCTATCTTAGTTCTCTTATTTTTAAAAGCTAAATGAGTCCTAAGAAAACCCCCAAAAAAGTGAACGAGAATCTGGTCTTCTAGGTTAGGATTTTCCTGAGGCTGATACGGTGGCCCGGTGAACGTAATTCATATTTTGGTGTCAGCAGCACTCACAGCTTCTGAGTCTATTTGAGGCCTGAATGTAAGGCTTTTGTTAATTAGTGCAAATGAGCAGAGGGAGGTGTTGATAGAGCCATTATTCTGGTTTTGGTCCTTTAAAGATTCTATCATCTCTGCCCTGCTTAAGGCCCAGAGTCTAGTCATCCTTTCTTCTCCAATTCCCAGCCAGGACAGCCGACTCAGAAGAAGTAAAAAGGAGGACAGAGCTAACGGCATGTTCTTCACCCAAACCACACCTGTGAGTTCATAGTATCTCCCCACTCTCCTCTGTCTGAAACACCATGTGCCCTAATCAGACTCCTTCTATCTTCAGCCTCCAGTAGACAGAGCCCACCCAATTCCTTCATGAACAAAATGAGTAGAATTCTTTAAATTGGAGTTTTAATTCAATTTCATTTTAATTAAAAGAATTATTAAATCTTAAAATTCTATCTATGGCCCAATTACATATATTTAAATTATTAAAAATTTCATTTTCATGATTTCTACCCTCTTTTCCCCAAAAGTCTGCTTGTAAGAGTCCAGAGAATGTTTTCTAACTTCCTTTATAAGACATCATTTGTAGGTATTACATAATTATAAATCATAAGAGTCATTTCCTGTTTATCAATTTTCATCAAGCTTTATAATATGCAGATTTTTAAAGGGTTGGTTGTCAGCCTAGAAAATTATGCTAATGAGATAAGAGCAATAATTCAAAGTGTAGCCACTAATTTCTCTGAGGGGACATATGCAGAGACCCTGGGCTTTATGTTTGTTTTCAACTAATTATAGTGTATTTACTTTTCCATTAGTCCAATAATTTTTCTTTCAATTCAGAATTAAGCAATAAGACAATGAATTATAGAAAGGCCTGTTTAGCATAGCAGACATGCCCCATCATTCCCTAGTCCTCTGATTTACAGCTCTTAAAATGCACAAATGCTGTCTATATGCCCTTTTGTATTTATATTCCATCATGCAGTCACCTCAATAACTTATGCATTCTCAGAAGGACTACCTAGCAATTAACTCCAGTCTTTTCTAACTTACCATCTCATTATGTAAAGTGGTTTTGAACACAAACTTTATTAGCAACTTTCATTCTAATTTCTTCTTATCTCACACACCCTCAGCCTGACTAGAAATGTCAGTTTATATGTGACCAAGATGCTCTGGAAAATGGCAGTTTAAAAAAAATCCACACTGGACCAGCAGCACATTTAGTAATTGGTCTTTACACTATGGGGCACTACCATAAATCGAGATTGTCATATTTCAGCTGAAGCATGTGATGCAATTCTTTATAGAAATGGAAATGAATTCTCCCTGCCACACAACACAGCATTTTAACTATGTTCAGGAGGAATGAGCAAGTAAGGAAGCTGTAGTTTTTATTCACAAAGTTAAAAGAAAAAAACCCCCCAAAATTCTTTGTTAAAAGGCAAAGGAATTCATAGTACTGGAAGAGCTGAAATGTGGCTCAATGCTCACGTTCTTGGGAAGGAACTATGGTGGGCTGATGAGACTAGAGGGAAGGCAACAGGCAGCACCTGAAGATGTGTCGACTGTATAAAGGGGGAAGTCCCATCAGTGCAACGGACTTACCAACATCAGGATCCACGGCTTGAACTCTGGTCAACAGAGCCTTGGTGGCTGTGTTCTCGTAGACACAGGTGTTGTAGTGATCAGAAGAAAACACAGGGGGATTATCGTTCACATCCTCCAGGATCAAGCGGACATCAGATTGGCAAAACCTGCCACCCCCGTCAGTAGCCCTAGCGATCAGGTTGTATGCAGGGACCCTCTCCCGGTCCAACAGAGACAAGGTTTTTAACTCGCCTGTGAAAATAAATAGCTTGGCTTTTCAAAAATTGTCTTTCTTTGAAAAGCAGAGGATCAATTACATAAAGAATCCCAAAACAGGAAAGAACAATGACATTTGGCTCAAGTGCCTCATAGTTTGAAAAATAGAACAAATTCAATTTTAATCATCAGAGAAAAAATTTATGTGGTTTTGGATGCAACAACAAACCAACTGCATGACCTTCAAATTTATTAATTCCACTGCCAAACCTCTGGGATCGGGGGTTCCTCCTTTGGGCTATGTGGTGAAGCTCCCTACTTCCATAAACCTCCCAAGACCTGCCACATCTCTGGATTTCTGCTATATCTTCAGGGAAAACATACAGTGTGGACAAATGTCCTGAGTTCTCTGATAATCAATCAAGTCAATAATAGGTAGACACTGATGGGGCAGGAGTGTCTCTGCTTCTAGGTACTCAACATCTTTTCACTTCATCTTTTTATATAAACTCACTTTAAAAAAAATTTATGTATTTTTAGAGAGAGGGGAAGGGAGAGAGGAAGAGAAAGAGAGAAACATCAATGCGAGAGAAACATCGATCAGTTGCCTCTTGCATGCCCCCAACCAGGGACCTGGCCTGCAACCCAGGCATGTGCACTGGCCAGGAATCAAACAGGTGACTTTTCACTTTGTGGGATGATGCCCAACCAAGTGAGTCACACCAGTCAGAGCTTTACCCCATCTTTTAGAGGAAAACAAACTCAAAACAAAGGCTGGTTACAGCAGGAGTTTCTAAGGGAGCCCTCCTGTGTCAGGGGGAGCCCTCCTGTGTCAGGGGAACCCTACTTGCTGGACTGTGGAAGGGCCCATGGTTGCTGGGGGAGTGTTATGGAGTCACATTTCAGAAGCTTGGAAAAGCAGCTATTAGCAACCAACATGGAGGTGGGTTATGTATTTTAACCACTGGAACAGCTGTACTGGTGCTGGGTGTCAGCCCCCATGGAGATTGAGGTTTTGTTGTCATTGTTTAAAGTTTAATGGTTAAAGATTAAGTACAGTGACAGGTCTGAATAAGTGCTATTTAGTGAAAAGTATGACTCACTAAATATTATACACTTAACTGAAATTAGTAGATGTTATTTGGACCATGTCAGCCATACTTATAGAGCAGTTCCCCCTCTGGCTTCCTTGCCACATACAGCCAGTTCTCAAACACAGGTCGGATCATTTCCCTCTCCTACTCAAAGACACATAGTTTTCCAGGTAGGCATTCAAGACCCTCCATGATGTGGTCTAAAGTCATTTTCCAACCACTTTCGTCACAAACCATTCCATGGCTCCTCTCTCCAGTGACAATGCTGTCTGAGGCATACCCTGGAGGTGCCATGCTCTCTGCGCACACTCCCCCAGGCAGTGTCCTGCCTCAGCTACCAGAATCCTGGCTTAATAAAATGCCAGCTGTTTTCAAAAACAGTTTCCTCTTTCCTCTCATCAGAATATTAGCGACTTCTTCCTCTGTGCCTGATGTAACTCTCCTGATATCTCTCTTGGGCACTCATTTCATTCTGCCTTTCGTTATTATTATTATTGGTTTATGGGTCTGTCTTCCTCCCTTGGGCATGGTTTGTTTGGTTCATCTTGGAGTCTACCACAAATGTCCCATAAAGTTCTTTTATGTCGACTAGCTACCCAATAAATGTTAGCTGTTGAATAAATAAACACCAGGCACATTTAGTCAAGTAGTATATTCCTGTGTAGCTCAGTGCTTCCACGTACAACAAAGATGCCATTGGCGCAGGGCAGGGAGGAAACACTACCTTTTGGAGTCCCAAAATTTTGTAGTTCCAAGGACCAAGACAACACTGGAAATATGCGAGTTATTTATCTTTACAGGTCACTTAAAAATTACCAGTGGATGAACCATCCAATACATAACGCTGAAATAATTTACCTCTATAGAAAGTGTCTTTTCTATTAGCTCTGGTGCTCAATGCAGGCATCTGCTTTGGCAGACATAACTTTTCACGTTATAAATTTTACCTGAATATGTAAGCAAATGTAAGGGCTTATGACTTTGGAGAAACTAAGCAGGAATGTTTAATAAAAACCAGACAAGTGTGTTAATAAGCATCGGGAAGGGGCCCAAAAGAAATTTCAACAGGGGAAAAACTTTCCTTACTGTGCATTGCTGTCTGGTTTGCATGGCAGCCTGTATTTGTGATGTAAATCTATTCATACTCTTTATAGGGCAGATGCTTTAGCTAACAAATATGAGGAATAGGAAAAGCAAGATGACATGTCTGATTACTTGATGCTAATAAACGTAAGTAATTCAGGTCAAGTTTTATAATCCAAATAAAGTTTGTATGCTCCAGAGCACCCATCTTCAGATACCAGGTGCAATGAACACTTCTTAGAGACCCAGGTAGTCAAGCGTCCTACCAAGGCTCTTGAACACTAGCTACCAACTCTTGATGAGACCACATGAGAACTTAACATCTCTAATGGATTAACAATGACATTTACCCAAAGAATAAATATCACCTTACCACTTTCTGAATCTAGAAAAAATTCATTATGTCCAGGTCCATAGAGTGAGTATTGTATATCTCCATTGGATCCAATATCGGCATCTTTGGCACTGACCTTCAGGATGATTTTATTTGACGGTATGTCTTCGGGAAATAATACTGTATATGCAAACTAGGGAAGGGTAAAGAAATATAACTAAATTATTAGTATTTGTGGGGCAACTGCCATAGGTAGCATGATACATGATTTTTTTTAAACAAATGCATTCACATAATTTAGTTTGTTATTTTTTTCCTGTGCCATAGAACCATCCTACATTATATGATGAAACATGGCATGTCTCTTGCCCAGCTTCTCCCATGCTCATTCAACAAATACTTATTGAGCACCTGCTATATGCTAGGCACTACTGAGATTCTTGGAGTACAATGGTGAAGAAAACAGATAAAAATTCCTGTAACCATGACACAGATCACATATTGATCAAGGTCCTCTTTTCTGTTAAGCACGAGTGAATCCTTGGGATACTTTAACTCTTTAAAGAGCCACTACTAACATTTGGTATTAGAAAGAGAGATTAAATCTGGTTGTAACACTTTTCTAAGCTACAGAACACCAATATTGTCTCTTGGTCCTAATGGTGATTAAAAGAGGAAAGGTAAATAGTGATTTAATTTCAGTAAGAAAGAAAACCAGATCTATTACTGGCACCTGGCACAGGCTGTCACGTTTTGTACTGTGATAGAAAAACCACCATATGAGGAGCTTGGAGATCTGAGTTCATTGCCAACATGGCTATTAACCAGCTGTGTAAACCTACATGAGCAGAGTAATTTATGCTTTTGAGTGGTCCATTTCTCTTTTATGAAATCATTGATTTAGGCAGCGTAAGTCATAAGGTCATTTAGAATTCCTTTAAAATTATTTAATTTTAGGACTTATGGTTTTGTTTTTGGTTTTGTGGGCAAAATTAGATACCTGCCCATGCTACTTGTCCTCTTTCCAAGTTTATAATATTTCACCCTAGATTCCACCTCCTACCCTCTTATATACAATTGGAGCTCACTAATTAAGTGGATACGAGCAGAAATTAGCCTGGCTTTAAGAAGAAAAGGGAAATGGGTTTTGGTTTAATTTTAGAGAAGCAAGAGTAAGAGGGAGCAAAGTATCTGATATATTAACAGATCTTACCTGATCACACACTGGGCTGTTGTCATTCACATCACTGACAGTCACTTCCACCATGGCCTGTGTGACAAAGAGCCCATCGGTGGCAGTGATATTGAGGAAGTAAATGTCTTGTTCTTCCCTATCTAGAGGTCTCTTCACATAGACCTTCCACTCACTCTGCACCAGCCCGAGGGCAAACCTTCCTCGGGGGTTCCCTCCTGCAGTGAAAGAAAAGAGATTTTGCAGCTGCGCAATGAAAAGCTTTGGCCTACACTTACAGTGAGAGGCCTGTGTAGGGCCACCCAGGTGCCCTACAATTGCTATCCTTTATGATATGGAACAGCAATTGACACTTGCTTCTTCCTTTTGGTTCTTGTGCAAGGAAGCCTTGTATTTATACACTTGGCTTATGTGGAAAGTAAAACAGTAACTTTCCAAGAGAATAAAATGCACTTAGAGAGATGATCTTGTGTTTAGTGCCCCTTAAGGACAATCAAATTCAAACTGTGAACAATCAATCCTCTTCTCAGGATGATACAATTGTCTTCCCACTTTTTCTCAAGAGAGGATGTAATACACTGTAGCTCTTGTTACCAAGACAATTTCATTAGCTGTTGATTATGCAATCAAGGGGGGGGGGCAGTCAGTTCTAGTAAAGAATCTTTTCTTTAAAGGAATCTTTTTATTTTTAATTTATGAGGGTGGCATGGGTTAATAAAATTATGTAGGTTTCAGGTGTACAGTTCTACGATACATCACAAGTCTATTATTTTATTGTGTGTTCACTACCACAAGCCAAATCGCCTTCTGTCACCATTTACCCTCCTTTATGCTCTTCTACCTCCCCCACCCCTCCTTCCCTCTGGTAATCACTATACTATTGTCTGTGTCCATGAGTTTTTTTCTTAATCATTCACCTATTTCACCCAGCCCCCCAATCCCTGTCCCTTCTGACAGCTGTCAGTCTGTTCTCTCAATCTATGAGTCTGTCTCTATTTTGCTTGTTAGTTTAGTTTGTCTCATTAGATCTCACATATGAGTGAAGTCACATGGTACTTGTCTCTCTCTGACTGGCTTATTTCACTCAGCATAACATTCTCCAGGTCCATCCATGCTGTTGCAAAGGTAAGATTTCCTCGTTTTCAACAGCTGAGTAGTATTCCACTGTATAAATGTACCACAGCCTCTTTATCCACTCACCTACTGATGGGCACTTGGGCTGCTTCCAAATTCTGTCTATTGTCAATAACACTGCAATGAACATAGGGGTTCATATATTCTGTCAAATTGGTGTTTCTGCTATTAAGGAATCTTTTAATGAAGGCTTTATCATACAGCTGCATTCTTCTTAGAAGGACTGGAGTTTGGGGGAGGAAAGCAGGTGTGACAGAAGACGACCCATTAGTACTGCAGAGCCCTAATGAGGGGCCACCGAAAGAGCAGTTCAAAGACAAGACTACAATTAGATCAAATTTATCACAGTGAAGCTGTGAAAGAGGAGGAAGAAGAGAAGAAGTGAAGTGGAACAGCTTTTGATGATGCTGAAACACCGACAGTGGTCCCGGCAACAACACAAGGGAAGAAAACTACCTTGACCTTCCAATCCCGAAGAGGAGGAAGATAATGTCACTTCAAACATGGAGGGAGACTGGAGGAGACAACTGGCAAGGAGCTTGGAATTCAGTTAAATCATCACCGTTTCACTCGTTTGGCCATTTAGCCAGCATTTGTCACCTGCTCTGGGCCAGGTTCTGCTCCAGGCAGTATCATTACAGCGGTGGACAAAGCTGACAAAAATCTCTGCTCTCCTGATGGAGCTCACATTCTAGGAGGGAAGGTCTGCCAACAAACAAATAAATAGGGAAACATACTGTATACTGGCTGCTACTTCATAGAAAAACTAGAGCTAACGTGCCTTCTTACAATGAATCTTCAAAAGAGAAGAGGGCACAGATCATGGTCCTGCCGAAGCCGGGGAGGGGGAAGGAGTGGAATTCCAAGGGCCGGCCTGTGCTCTGCATCATATGGCACGGTGGGCGGTGGGGGTCAGCCCAGGGGCCTCAGCCATGTGGTGCAAACACGGGGAAAACAGACCGTCCTGGGCAGACAGTACAGAAAAGGAGAGGGCTGCCCAGTCCTCTAGGGCAGTGGTTCTCAGTTGAGAGTGACTATGCCCCCTTCCTCTACCCCCCTCAGGGGACATCTGTCAATGTCAGAAGACATTTTTGCGGGTCACATCAGGGGTCCTACTGGAATCCATTGCATAGGGGCCAGAGATGCTGCTAATCACCCTATGAGGCACAGATTGGCCACCTGCAAGAAAGACTTCTCTGCCCAGAATGTCAGTAGTGTCAAGGTTGAGACACCTGCCCTGGTGAGGCTTGGGGTCCTCATTAGGAGACCACTTTCCTCCATCACTGGCCAGGATTCAATCAGGCTGCTGCTGAATATTACTTGAGCATGCACAAATTTAACCTGTTAAATGCTTTTGCTACAGGCCCAGATCGTTCTTTTGTTATATAAAATGATTAATAGTCCTTTGTTAATCTGTGGCAGCACAGCCAAATTGTGCAACATCAAGAGCAAAAGTTAAATCTCATTAAAGTCAGCTGGTGGTTGGCACTGTGAACAGTAACAGTAGCTTTAAGCTACTCTGTTCTCATTACTTTGATAAAGTTGATAGGATGGTCCCTTTAAATCATCCATTCAGAGACAATGTATAAATAATTAAAATTGAGTAACAGTTCTTCAAAATAGGAAAATATCCCTCAGGATGCCTAAGAAGCTTTTTATTGGAAACTGAATGCAAATAAAATCAAAGTGATGCCTTACTCACCATTCTTTCCTTACCACTATGGATCATGTCTTTATTATAGAAATGTACATTGTAATAAAAAATGAAGTTCTCAGATAAAGCATACAACCCATAAAGAGCTTTAAAAAGAACACATCAAGAAAACAGCTCCATAAAAAAGAAGAGTCATGCAGCAAAGTGTGGCAGTCCCAAGCACTGACACCCATGCTCTCCTGCGGATCTTATTCTGCAGTGATTAATTAACTTCCCCACCAATGTACTTAAGCAGATTCTATGTCCTGAGGGCATTCTAATTAATTCATTTTTCACGTTGAATAATGCAGTTTTTCTAAAGGGAAGCCACCTGACTACAAGTATTGATGGAGTCTTTAAAATCTTTTGGCACTTTTCTTATGTTCTGCCTTTGAATGTCACAACACCAAAATGTTAGTTTTAAACCTCCCAAAAATAGTTTTTAGGAAGGCTGCTCCCAAACCACCACCCTCTCCTCTTTGTAGTTTAAGGCCAATCATCCCTGGAAACCTACCCCTGATCAAGGCACCCCTTCTTCACTCTGACATGAAATCCGTGGGCCCTCAGAGCAATGGTGACATATTTTGTGCCCTCTGGGTGACCTAATTTGTCTATCTTTCCTTTCGCACTGAACTGCTACTTAGTATTTGGAAAGACAGAAGAGGGATCAAATAAAAAGGAGTTGTCAGAAGAATTATCTTTGGCTTAGAGTTATAATGTTTGTTTTTTTTTAATCAAAAGATCAAACTAGGCTCTAGAGTTTGTATATCAGCATGCACTTCAATTTTTATTATCAGAGGAAACTTGTAAGTGAAGCTTACAGGGGTCAAGCTCTTTACCTTTTTCCCCCCTAATAAAAGTAGGGAAAAGAAATATAGGTAAAAATATATCTCCTATATCTCCCAGGCAAAAAGAGCTGTTATATTTGACATATTTGGCTGGACTCCGTTTGAAATGATAAAAAGTGACTCAAGGACTGGGTAGCGATCTGGGTCATCTGTCGCAGGCAAACCAGTGAACTCCAAACTAAGGCTGAGTTAGTCACAACCAACAGTTGTGTCTACACTGAGGTCTCTTCCTCAGCCCCAGAGTATTACTACTCTTGATCCTTCATCTCATCTTCCTTCTTCTCTCCTATTCTTACCACCTGCAACCTTCCATCTTTGGAAAGCAGAGCACATCGTGAAAACCAAGCGTGGTAGACTCACCTGTAATATGGTAGCTCACTTGGCGATTAATGTCGGAAGTGTCTCTGTCCCACGTGCTGAGCACCGCAACCACCTCGCCCGGAGGGTCACTCTCCTTCACATTCCCCTGGTACACTTCATGGGCAAAGACTGGTGCATTGTCATTTATATCTGTCACCCTGACAGAGATCAAAGCTGTGGAAGAAAGAGAGAAGGCCTCTCCAAGGTCGGACGCCACCACAGAGAAAGTGTAGGAGGGGTCTGTCTCATGATCCAGGTCCTTCAAGGTACTGATCCAGCCTGTGTTGCTGTCGATACTGAATGCTTCCATTACCTTTTCGGGCTGGGAATCTGAGTGGAGGGAGTAAGTGACCTGCCCATTAGCTCCCCAGTCCATGTCAATGGCTCTCACCTGTGTGAGTTTGGTGCCGATAGGCATCCCTTCCATTATAATGGTCTCATAGCTTGAAGTGTCAAAGACCGGCTTGTTGTCATTCAAATCCAACACCTTGATATCTACGTCCACAGTAAACACAATGTCCACCTTGTCCAGGGGGATAGTGGCTGCTACTTTAAAGTGAAATGCTGGGCTGACTTCATGATCGAGGCGTTTGTCAAGCTTGATGGTGCCTGTTTCCTGTTCTATGATGAAGACACCCCCTTTGTTATTTTCTGGACGTTCCCCATTAACTGTGCTAAATCTGACATTCTGACTAGGCAAAATTCTCAGGGTGTCCACTGTGCTCCCAATGGCTGTATCTTCTGAAATGGTAAAAGAATACTGAGACTGGGTAAATGAAGGCAAGGAGGTTTCCGGGGGCAAGACGTGGATATAGACAGGAATGAGGGAGTGCTTTACTGGAATGCCCCCATCTACCGCTTTGACAAAGAATGACAGCACCGTGTTTTTCAGCTGGTTAAAACTGCCCTTTGTGACCATCCAGCCATTGTCAGGATCGATTTCCAGCAGGTCAGCCACCGAGACTGAAGCCTCACTATAGAGGGAATAAGTAATCCTTGAATTGGCTCCATCATCTGGATCCATGGCTTGAACCTGGGTAACCAAGTGGCCCCTTCCAACGTCTGCCCTGACACTGGCCCTGTATTCCACTGTCATGAACTGGGGAGCATTGTCATTTTCATCCACCACAATCACCCTCACAGTGCAGAAAGTCGTTCTCCCTCCACCATCAAGGGCCCTCAAGAAAATACTAATATCTCCTTCCAGAGGGTTTTCCCGGTCAAGCCTTTCTGTTGTAATGACTTGTCCATTGTTGTCTATGAGGAATCGATCTTTAGCAAAGTCATTGATGATGGCATAGGTGATCTGCCCATATGTCCCTGGATCCCCGTCTGTGGCTCGAACGTGAATTACCTTTGTCCCAGCAGCCACATTCTCTCTAACCTCAGCTACATAGGTGCTTTGTGAAAAGGCAGGGCTGTACAGGTTAGCCCCGAGGACCCTAATGTGCACCTGTGCAGTGCTAGTGAACAACCCATCAGAGACAGACACATTAAGACTGTAGAGAGGCTCCATCCGCTGCTTCCGGTGGTTGGACAGTGTGATGATGCCACTTTTGCTGTCCATCAGGAAGCTTGTCCGGTCATTCCCAGATAAAATGTTATATTCCAACCGGTCAAAATCAGAGCTGTCTGCATCAGAAGCTTGCACACACGTTACAAAATGGCCCCGGGGGGCTAATTCACTCACATACGACTCATAAATGAGCTGATTAAAAATCGGAGGGTTGTCATTTATATCTGAGATGTAGATATGCACCAGGACCTCACTGCTCAGGGATGGGAAGCCATTATCCGTTGCTCTGACTTTCAAAGTGCAATGCTGCACTAACTCGTGGTCCAGCATCCTTGCTGTCAGGATTAAGCCACTTGTGCTGTCTATGTGAAAATAATCTGTGCTGTTATAAGTATCCTGGACAATCTGATAATGTACCATTTTATTGTTTTCTGAGTCTGCATCAGTAGAGACAACTTGCAAAACAGGTGTCCCAATGAGAGATGCTTCTGACAATGTTGTGTTGTATGTAAGCTGATCAAAAATAGGGGGGTTGTCATTTACATCATTAACCAGTAAGTCAACAGTGACTTCAGCCCTGGCACCAGTAAGGGCATCACTGGCTCTTACTGTCAACTTATAAACAGGTGTAATTTCATAATCTAGAGGGCTAACGACTTTCAGGACCCCAGTGTCAAAGTCAATGTTAAATTGTTTATAAAGATCTCCATCAATAATGATGTATATGATGCCTTGGCCTTCTGGGCTGGTGGCATTGATGCTCAGAATGGGGGTGTCCATTCCGATGTCTTCGTTGATGGATGCTGTATAAAAGGGCTTATCGAACACAGGCATTGCTTTGTTGACAATAGTGATGGGAAGTTCCACAGATGTGGACAAAGAGGGTTTTCCACCATCTTTGGCTAGGATGGTGATGCCATACTCAATGTTGGACAAGTCAGAGTTGAATGCTTCTTTTAAAATAACATTTCCCGAATTAGGGTTAATTTCAAAGTGGCCATAGTCATCCTGTAGGACATAGGTCACTTCCCCATTTGCACCTTTATCTTTGTCAATGGCTGTCACTCGGTAAATCAGAGTCCCAGGCTCAGCATCAACCTGCACAGCAGCATAGTAAGGTAGGCCCACAAAGACTGGAGAATTGTCATTTATGTCTTCGATGTTAACTCTGACCACCACCCTAGCCACACGCAGATGATCCATCTCACGGCTGGCTTCCACCACCAGCTCATATAACTCCTGTTCTTCACGGTCAAAGGGGACTCCTGTGGTCTGAATGACCCCTGAGGTAGATTTTATCTTGAACTTATTTCCTGGGTTTAAGATGCTGTATTTTAAGGGCTCATTAAGGCGATTTCCTACTGCATTGACAATAGCAACTTTGGTTATGTTAGTGTTGTTCTCTGAGATTGAGGTGGAGTAAAAGCTTTGTGTAAAGTGGAGGCCACTGTCCATGGCTTCTTTAACTGAGATGGTGACCATGGACGTACTGTAGAACTTCCCGTCAGAAACTTTAACTACCAGCACATAGTGATCTTTGGAGAGGTTGTTGTTTTTTATGGTGAGCACTCCAGTATTTGAGTCAATTAAAAAATGATCCAAACTGCCTTCCATTAGGCTGTATGTCAGTTCCGGGGGCACCTCTGAGTCAGGGTCTGTGGCACTAACTTTCAGAACCTCCACTCCAACATAGGTAGGAAGAAGTAAGATGGTCTCAAACACAGCCTGAGTGAAAACAGGCGGGTTGTCATTCACATCTGTCACCTCTATGTTCACTTCAACGGGGCTCTCTGCAGTCAGCTGGGGGCTACCACTATCTCTCACATGCACATGAAAATGGAAGTGGGAGATGGTTTCATGGTCCAGGGGGGCAATTGTTCTGATTGCTCCTGTACTGGAATCTACTGTGAAGAACTTCTTGGCTGTGGACTCCACAATCTGATACACAAGCAGAGCATTCCGGTTGCTATCAGCATCAGTGGCTCGAATCACCAGTGGGCTGTTATCTAAGCTCCTGACAATGCTATTAACTGGGGCAGCCTCACTCAGGCTGCCCAAATATTGAGAAAAGAGGAAAACTGGGGCGTTATCATTTTCATCAACAACCTGAATATTGACCGTGACATTGGAAGCCATTCCTGCCATGTTAGTGGCCTGTACAATGAGGCGATAAGAGGAAGTGTGCTCATAATCCAGTGCCTTCCGGGTGGTGATGACTCCGGAATATGGGTTTATGGTAAAGATCCCATCAATGTTGCCATCTTTAACTTCATAAATGAGGGTAGATTGACTGATAGCAGAGATTAGAATGACTGATGTTCCAATATCAACATTTTCATTTACTTCTGCTTGGTAGTCTTTGTGAGTGAACTTGGGATGAGAATTATCAGACATGGTGACAGAAATGCGCACAATTGCAGTGGCAGACATCGGCGGGGAACCCTGATCTGTGACTTTGACTGACAGGACAAACTGACCCATGGTCGTCATGTCTGGTTCTTTCGAAACAGTAATGATGCCCAGGACTGGTTCAATCTTAAATGTGTTCCCAGTGTTCCCTACAATATGGAAATCAAAGGGGAAATGAGTTACAATTGGATCATTTTTTGAAGATTAACTTTTCATCTAAAGGCTACTTTACTGCGATGGGGCAAGTAGAAAGCAGGGTTTTGTTTTTGTTTTTGTTTTTTGTTTTTTTTTTGGTATCCATTCCACCTCATTCTGAAATAAAACAAGAGACTTCTCTTTCACAAGTATTCAGAAGCAACCAAAATGAGTTTTCTGGTAAAACTGTGAATTTCAGATCATTATCTTCTTAATCCAGGTTAACACCAACAACATAGTACTGTGTACATTAAAACAGGTAAATAAAAGCTTGTAGGAGAGACTTTTCTGTTAAGAATATTTAGGACCTTCTTATTCCCAGCCTTGTGAGAAGAGAAACAGATTGGGCTGGCACATGCTAATGACAACAGGAAAAAGGTAGTTTTACCTAAACCATATTCCGTATTCTATGTTATGAGAAAGAGGGTTGTAGAAATTGTTTCAGAATAGTATCACAGTCATTTGGCTTCAGATTATCCTGAAGAGAAGCTTTACTACATGGAATTGGTATTGTTTTATGCTCTCAAAACTGACTTAATCCTAAACACTACTTTGGAAAAGGAAGGGTTTGTTCAGGCAGAGGGAATTCTTCCCAAGTCACTGTTTGCTTCGTAAGTCCTGAGGATTTTTTTTTTTTTCTGACTAACCAAGACTTCATTTCCCTGCATTCCAAAACACACACAGGCACACACAGACATAAAACTAGACAAATAATTATAAGGCAGTTGCTCCAATCTGCAATCGTTCTATTTGCAAAAATTTTCAGGGGTTCCTAAGGAAGTAGGAAACTGTTGATAATCTGAACCAGCATCCAAACTAAGAATCTGAGGTGTAACCCTTATGAAGCTGAGAAACTGGTGCCCATTCTGACATAGTTGAAATGGAAGGGCTGTGAATTGTGAAACGGTACAAGGTTAGAGCTCTGTCTCTGAAACATGTGGTGGTGGGGACTGTGGAGGAGAAGGGACCTTAAAGGGGAGAAGGGAGTGGGGGACACATAACTTGAATAATGGAAAGAATGTAGTTCTGAAGTAGTGGACGGCATGAAGCAGAATCCTTCCCCAAGTTTCTTTTGCTTTTCTCATCAGGCTTTCTAACACTTCTCAAAGAATACACATGCTCGTGTGTCTAGATTCTTTTAAATCAAAAGTTAATAATAATCTTGATTATTCAGTTATATATGGATTTTTCTTTCTTGTTGAAATATTGTAGTATGGCAGACACATGGACAGTTTGAATGTTATTATCATTAAGAACAGTTCCAGGATTGAGAGGGCCATTCTGTAATGTTTCCATTGTAAGATAGAGCAAATGCAGCTGTATACATACTTCTTACTACATACGTATTAAATAAACTTTTTCATGTCTGAAAAGTTTCATCCTCATAGAAATCCATTTCTATGAAATACTTGCTTATTGTTAAAGAGGAAGTATATCTAACAAAGAGGTAAAGAATTTAATTCTAACTCTGAAATGTGAATATTAAATAATATCATCTTTAAGGTTGGGATGATTCTTTTACTTCGCCACCTAAACATGACCATACTGTGATGAAAACAAGCTTGCAAATTTTCAATAACTAGCACAGTAGAATTGAGTGGGAGTCCAACATCAACATCAGATTCATAAACCTCACAAGGAGGCAGCAGTCATCTCACTTCAGCATCTCAGAGGAGAGAAGTGTAGAGATATCTGAGTAGTGGTCACCTTCCAGCAATGGCACCAACATGCAATGACGAATGCGCCAGAGCATCCGGTGTCCCACTGTGGAGTTTCCAGGTAAGTGTTTTTCAACTCTAGGCACAGCAGATTTTTACATACCCAGCAGGGCATTCAAGGCAGGGACCAAGAGGAGCCGGCTTCTGACCTTGAGTAGAACATCATAACCCCGCCATTATCTGGCTGCTGACCTGCTTGGCCCACTCCTCCAGGATGCTGTGCTCATGTCAGGTCCAATGTGGGCTCTCTGCCTCTTTTCCTCCTCAACACACTATGCCATATTCTTAGGGTCCACATCCTGCTATCATTAAATCCTCAGAACCTAATCTCTGCTTGTTTTCTTGGAATCTACAGCCTCTTGTAGACTTCCCCCAACTGGGCAACATGCTTATGTTACTTATCATCATTTATCTAGTACACGGTACAGTACCTGACACAAAGAAAGTGCTTGATAAATATTTGTTGAATGATTGAGAAGAGAGATTTAAAAAGATTTTTAATTCTCTATCTCTATATATCTTGGGATTCAATATGCCCCCGTCTAAATCAGCTCGTAGTCCTGGTCTCCCTTATGCTGCCTGGTCTCAGAGCCACACACGAGCCACTGTTTGCACCAGACATGAAACCTGAATTAAGTAGAAGACCTGAAGTTCTGCACTTGAATTCTGCCTCAGTCCTTCAGGCCAAAATAAAAAGCTCCAATAGTTACTTAGAGGCCAGGAAGGGGAGGAAATTTATAGCCTGCCAGTAAACAGAGTAAAATCTTGTTTATTGGAGATTTGTGAGGGAAATTAAAACATACACTTCACACAACTACTTGTCATTTGCTTCAAAATGCTGATGCATCTGGGATCTGCCTCTCTTCTACCCTGATCTGGGAAGAAACTGGATAGGTAGGAAGAGTCCCATCCAGTGTAGGTCTGTGTCCATGAAGGCGGCCCAGGGGATTTATTGAGATTTATTGTATACACTGTAATTCTCATTAGCTTTTTACATATAGAGCTAAAGGCCATTTTTGAAGATACCAATCATTCTTGTGGACTTCTAGAAATTCAAGCTTTCTATATAAAAGGTGTTTTAAGGAAATAACGTTTCTCTTTAGTTTTAGTAAACTCTGAAAGAAATGACAGAGTTCCCACTCTATGCACAGCATAGGCTGTAGCCTGTGAAGGTTCAAAGATAAAGGGAGGCAGTCCTTTCAGTTGGATGGTAATTTACTTTTAAATTAGTCTTCAGGAACTTCCAAATTGGTTTAAGAATGATCTGGCGATCTAAGAGGTGTGGTGTAGTAGCCTTAATGACAAACATAAAAAGCAAGTAGGCATACAAATGTTTAGAAAAAGTAAGTAAAGTAGAAATAAAACCCTGTATCTAAATGATTACAATGACATGGAACAATGTACATGCATGAATGGATATGGGGAAAATATATAAGTTAGGAAAAAACTATAAAAAATATAAAGAGTTATTAGATTAGGTGACATTTTCTATGATGCTATTTAAAAATTGGTTTCTTGAAAGGAGTTTCTAGGTTATCTGTAGAACAAAAAAACAAGAATTACATGATGAAATAATAAAATGTCCTGTGATAAACAAGAGATGTAAAATAGCATTAAAAAAATTTTTGGTAGGGCTTTATTTAGACTGAAAGGAAATTCCATGGAAATCCAGGGGAAAAAATGGTGAATTTGCTGAAGTCACCAGGCTGTTATGAACCTTTTTTTTTATCTTTTCTTTTTTTAGAGAGTTTACAACAGACTTATAAAAAATGTGAATGCCTAATATAGGAAATAATTTTAGATTATCATTCAATGCAGGGTTTTTAAAAGAAGGTTGTTGGCTTTCCTTTTTCTAATATTTTTGAGTCCAAAACTGTCATTGTAGCATTCATATTTTAATTCCACTACTCATAAAAATGCTCCACATTTAAATCAAGGGAAAGAAGCTTTCCCAGTGCTGGCATGAAAGGAGACAGCATTTGGCAGGATGCAAGACAGACATAATGTTGCAGAACATTTTGGAAAAATGTGGCTTGAATATTCAAATAAAAAAAAGAAGAGAAGAGAAAACAGAATGGATAAAAGATATTTGTAATTTTTAGGTTTACAATGCTATCCCTTGATTGAACATTTATATCTTCTGTCATAAATGATTTCCAGTGGTCCATCTTCAAACGCTCAGTAAACTATGTATGGTCCTACCTTATAGACATTAACATTGATTTTTTAAAAATCTCACAATTAACAAAATGAGAGTCTGTATTTATTTATTTATCTGTCCAGTTAAGCAGGCAGTTTAGTACCCACCAAATACTCTGCTACTCAGATTACCTCCAGTGAAGTGAATTTGTGTCAACTGTGGGGGCATAGGAATGTCTGAAGTCCACAGCCCACCTACTGACAAGTAAACAAAGTCATGTAAGATTCGATTCACACGACTGTCTGGGAGCCCTCAAATGACGGGAGACTTTGGTTATTTCAGTCTGAGACCATGGCATATTGACCCATAAGTAAAAGACGCTGAGTTTATTGCACATTTCTCTTCTCTTTTCCATTCCAGAAAAATCTGAAATTGAACAAAAAAAGGAAACTCTTTCCTCGCTGTCAGTGATGGAAAACATATTACTGAAATGCCAAGAACTTTATACACCATCATCACACAAATAGGGTAGTTGCTTGGCCAAAAAATTCATTTGGTGATGTTCCAGTGGTAACTACGTGAATTTTGCAAGGTGATAAATACTACTGAGGGTCCAATGCCATCATTATTGGGCAATCAGTGCAACAGCTCTCACCTGCTTCTATGGTATATATGAGTTCTGCATTTTCCCCTTTGTCTTTGTCCAGTGCCGTCACTTGCAGAACAGCTGATCCCAGAGCAGCCGATTCAAACACAGATGCTTCATACAGTGGGTTGGTAAAATAAGGGCTGTGATCATTAGCATCTTCCACATTCACAATGACTCGGGCCAAGTTTCTTCGATAAGGAAACTCCTGATCTCTGACCTTTAGGCAAAATACAAGAAGCAGTAGGACTAAAGTCTTAAGTTGCAAAGAACTCACATGGCTATGCATGTAGTGGAAAAAAAAATGACACGATGCACACAAAGTGCTTGACCCAGTCCCAGGCCCATAGTAGGTGTTCAATCAAGTCAGGACACTGATTGTGAATCAACTGAGAGGAGGGACCACATCATCTTTATTGCTCAGTATCATGCCTGATGAATGGTCTGTGTTCAGCCTGTGTTTGTGGAACTCAGTCTTGGATACCACAAACAGCAGTCTGCTCAGCACACCCCCAGCCCCATGTACACAAACAGCCACTACCTCTCAGTTGTGTATACAGCTGCTAATTGAAGGGTGGATGGGGGCTCTTTTTAAAAGGAAACTAAAAAGTGGAATCGATGAATGCAATGTAGGCATTGCCATTCATTGATTCAATCATTCAACAAACATTTACGGTCATCTATTATCCGTCAAGTTCCAGGACTGACTTTGGTGGTTGAGCAGTGAATTAGATACAGTCCTTACCCTCAAGAACTTTATCACTGACTGAGGAATTCAAACAAGCAAATAGGCAGGTGTAAGGCCCAGTGGTAATTGCCAGGATGGGAGTGGGTAGTGAGAAGAACTTCATTTTGTGTTTAGCTTTGAGAAGAGGTAACAAAAATAAGTATGAGTAGTAAAATGGTGGGGGTGGTTGTGTGTGGCGTGTATTTCAGGCAAAAAGAACAAACATACATAAAGGCCCAGGACTGAGAGAGAACCCTGATTGTTGGGAAGATGAGCTGAATCTTAATTTTTAAAATGTGAGACACTCATTGTGACTTCACCAAAGAACCTGCCTTTAAAGTTCCCCATTTAGGGCAAAAGCTCGCAAATAATCAATTCTTTAACTCTAACCACATGATTCTGCTGTAATTTTATGTAACACTAATCAAATGTACACTTTCCATTTGTTCAATTTTAGACTCCATATCTTGAGAGATGTAAAACAATTAGAAAATTTTCCGAGAAGAGTCATCATAGGGAAAGGGATTTTCAGAAATGATACCTAGAAGAAATGAACAAACTGACTAAAATGCTTAGCTTGGAGAAAGGCAGCATTAAAGGATTTGTTTGCTCTAAACATTCAGTTACATAAATGGTAATGGTACAGGGTAACCAAACTGAATTTTGAGTTTGTTAAGGAAAGAATGAACAGAAATGACTTGAAGAATCATGAGAATGGAGTTAGTCACTGGCATAAGGTTTCTGCCCCTGAAAAAATGCATGCCACAGCAACCCAGGGGGTACGCTGAATTTCTGCCTGCAGATTGGCCTGCCACACCCAGGGACCACACTGCACTCTCTATTTTGGGCTTACTGAAATCTGGGTCTGTTCCATATGAATGTCTAAGGGTGCAGGGACTTTTGTCTATTTCATATCTTTAGTGCCCCCAACAGTATTTGGTACACAGCAGGTGCTGGAGAAATAGCTGTTGAATGAATGAATGGTGGTTAGAGGGATGGATTCAAGGGTTCCTTCTTCTGTTCCCTGGAGTCTCAGCTGGAAACCAGAGCTGAGGGCATGACACTCAGGTTTCCTCTTGTCCAGGACAGTTCTCTAGACTTGGGCGGGCAGAGGAGCACTTGGTAGAACATGAACTACTTTCAGGTGCTTGGGAATTGGTAGCATCTCGGTCTATCTTAAAGCCAATTAGTACACAAGATTAAGCCTCTGTTATGCCACATGGTCTTAGGGGACTCAGGAGGGCTCTGCAGGCAGAGGCTGTGCAATTGCCCAGAGGTTTCTTGGGTGGTTAAAGGGACAGATTTTAGGTCATAAACCACTCAAGGATGCTTCTTATTAATCCCTACTTCACAATATGGGAACTAGGCAAACTCCACTTTAAAATAAAGCAACTTCTACATAATTTGGAGGCCTATTAGCCCAAATTCAGATGTAATTCTCTCGGCAGGTTCGGTGTGTTTTCGGTCCTCTTTTGTGTGCTAGTATTTACCACTAGGTCCAATGCTGGTGAAAATAGATGAATTCTCTAAATGCTTCCAAGGACTGAGCATTGCATAGGCTGAGTAAATGATTATCATTGTAATTAACTTCTCAAAGAACTTCTTTCAAACTTTCCCACATAATCTTCTGGATGTGAACCAATCCCATACACGGGGAGATTTATGGCAACTCAGCCTGTTCCCCCCTCTACGTTAGTCTGTCAGCAGCACTTCCTGAGCAGCCACTGTCTGTAGAATGCATCTAATATTTTAGTTTGGCAAAAATATGGAGTCACTGCCTAACAATAGTAATTCTTTGCTGAAATAAAAAGGCAAAAATGAAGGCAGCCTTGCTGTGAAAATACCAAATTTAGCACTACTTAAAAAATGTAAGGGCCTTGTATATCTGGAGACTAAGGCATGTGCCTTGAGTAGTCAATGATTCTGTTAGGAGAGCACATTAAGCAGGGCAGGCCTACCATTACGTTGAGAATGTGCTTGTCCTGGGCCTCGTGGTCCAGTCTCTCGGCGGTGTAGAGCACCCCGGTGCTGGGGTCAATCCGGAACTTCCTCATGCTGACTGCGTCGATGCTGCTGTGGACAGTGTAGCTCAGCTTGTGCTTCTCATCTCTGTCTGTGGCTTCAATCTGCAATATCTCTGTGTCTGGGACCACATCCTCAGAAATTGTGACATCGTAATTTGGCTGAGAGAATTCTGGGCCGTTGTCATTATTATCCAACACTTTGATAAATACCTATAGTTAAAAGAAGGCAAGAGTGATGACTAATGCCAACACACTCATTGCTAGTGTACGAGGCCCCAGCCCTCCTGCTTCCCTCCATGTCCTTGGATCCCAGCTTGTAGCAGCTCTCTCAATATGTAAGAAGTTCATGTATGAAAACACTCTGTAATTAGAGGCTGACACTAAACCAGTAGTTCACAGTAGCAGGAACATAAACTACGAGCTGATCAATTATTCTCATTATTAATTGCACAGCTGAGACAGCCCCCAGGGAGAGATAATTCCACAGGATTACTTGAGGCACAATGTAAGAGATCACAAAGTGACCTTAGTGTGTTCCATTCCTATTATGTTAAGTTTTTGTTACATGTTCCTCATAGTGGGCTTTATGTGGAGGCAGTGACAGAATGGGAACAGTAACAAGAGGCTGAGGAAAGTGGTGGCGATCTCAGAGCAATGAGCGCTTCTCAACTGCAGCGTGCACACACTTGCAGCTCTCCTTTAGATGGGATGTGTTGAGCAAGGAACGTGAGAGGTAAATATGAAGTTCCCAACTTGTTTTCCTTTATAAATCATTTTGCTTTTAATATTTTCAGGCAGATATAAAAGTAATAGCTTAATGAACCCTCATGTATTCATCACTCAGATTTGACAATAACAACTTCAGGGTTCACCTTGTTTCATCCCCATCTGCTCCCATGTAATATTTTGAGGCAAAGCCCAGCCATCATTTACTTTCAGCATGTGTTGCTAATAGGAACTCTTAAATACTCACAATACCATTTTTCCATCTAAACAGAGAAAAATTAATTCCTTATTACCATTTAAAGTAAATCATTATATTATCAGTTGGTGTTCATCTTTCTATAACTTTTTTACATGTGTTATATATGTTGATAAACATATACATAGGTTTTTTTCCTAGTGTATTTTAGTCAGGATATGCAAATAAGATGCAAACACTGCATTTGGTTGACATGTCTTTTAATTTATAAATTTTCCCTTGTTTTTCCCTCTAGTCCCTGCAATGTTGTTATTTTTGGTATTGAACAATGTGAGCCATTTTATCTTTAGTTTCCACAGTTTGAATTTCACTCATTGCATCTTGGTGGTTTCATTCTATATGTTCCTCTGTCCCCTGTATTTCTTACAAACTGGTAGTTTGAGAAAGGAGAATTGATAAGATTCAAGTTTAATTTCTTTCTCCTCCTCCCCCCTTCATGGGTGAAGGTCTTTTTTTGACAAAAATATCTTTCATAGGTGATATAGTATACTTCCACCTGGAGATACATAATACCTGGTTCTTTCTTTGGTACATGGTATTAGCAACCATTGATGATTGTTACACACATAACATTAATTCATTAAAATGCAAAATGGCAACATTTAAATCTATGATTTATTTCTCCCTTATTAGCTAGAATAGTTTTAAAAAGAACTTACTACAATTATTTGGATACTCTGAAGTACACTTCCTGTAGGAATGGCAGGATAAATACTTAATTCTTTTCCTCTATTTATTGTTTCAAAATAATGAATTGGTTCTTCAGCAATACCCACAATGATCAATGAAGTTTTTTTCAAGTATTGTTATGAACTACTGAATGTAATCACATCTGAAATATTTCTGACCACTGCAGTTATTATACTTACTGATGCACACATGGCCCTTCCTTGGTCAGTGACAGCCTCTTCAAATTGGCTCTTATGATCTTTTGACACAAGCCTAGTAGTCTTTGATAACTCACTTGCTTTCCAATAATTCCTATTGGTAATTTTTTTCAGGATTGTTTTGCATATTTTCTAACCTCAGTCCTGAATTATTCATTTCTACAAATGTGTTGGTTACTTTTTAATTAGAAATGGCATTTAGAGACCATGCATGATCTGGTATGAGGAATGCTCATCGTTGCTAGATCTGCTATTATATCTAGCTTTTTTCCAGTGGTCAAAAATCAGAAACATTTCTTTGTTTTTAATAATTGTTTCATGAATTGATATCAACACTTCCAATTTAAAATGGAAGCATATATCGTGCTCATGGATTGGAAGAATTAATATCATCAAAATGTCCATACTACCCAAAGCAATTTATAGATTCAACGCAATCCTTATTAAGCTACCAATGACATATTTCACAGAAATAGAACAGACGTTTCAAAAATTTATATGGAACCATAAACGACCCTGAATAGCCTCAGCAATTTTGAGAAAGAAAAACAAAGTAGGAGGGATCACAATACCGGACATCAAACTCTACTACAAAGCCACTATACTCAAAAAACAATCTGGTACTGGCACAAGAACAGACCCATAGACCAGTGGAACAGAATAGAAAGCCCAGAAATAAGCCCAGGTCTCTATGGGCATCTAATATTTGACAAAGGGGGCAGAAGCATAAAGTGGAGCAATAATAGCCTCTTCAACAAATGGTGTTGGGAGAGCTGGACAGCTACATGCAAAAAATTGAAATTGGATCTTTAGCTGACACCATACACAAAAATAAACTCAAGATGGGTAAAAGACTTAAATATAAGTTGCAACACCATAAAAGTCCTAGAGGAGAACACTGGCAGGAAACTCTCAGATATCCCACGCAGCAATTTTTTCACTGATATGTCTCCTAAAGCAAGGGACATAAAGGAAAGAATAAACAAGTGGGACCTCATCAAAATAAGAAGCTTCTGCACGGCTAGAGAAAACATCAGCAAAATGAAAAGGGAGCCAACTGTATGGGAAAATATATTTGCTAATGATACATCAGATAGAGGTTTGATCTCCAAGATATATAAAGAACTCACTCGACTCTACTCTAAGAAGACAAACGATCCAATCAAAAAATGGGCAAAGGACCTGGGCAGTCGGTTTTCCAAGGAGGAGATACAGAGGGTCCAGAAGCATTTGAAAGGATGCTCAGCATCACTAGCCATCAGAGAAATGTAGATCAAAACCACCATGAGGTACCACCTCACACCGGTCAGAATGGCCATTATAAACAGATCAACAAACAACAGGTGCTGGCAAGGCTGTGGAGAAAAGGGAACCCTAGGACACTGTTGGTGGGAATGCAGACTGGTGCAGCCACTGTGGAAAGCAGTGTGGAATTTCCTCAAAAAGCTGAAAATGGAACTGCCTTTTGATCCAGTGATTCCCCTGCTGGCACTATACCCTAACAATACCAAAATGCCAATACAAAAGAACCTATGCACCCCAATGTTCATAGCAGCACAATTGAGAATAGCCAAGTATTGGAAGCAACCTAAATGCCCATCAGTAGATGATTGGATCAAAAAGTAACGGTACATATACACAATGGAATACTATGCAGCAGAAAGAAAAAAAGAACTACTAAACTTCGCGACAGCATGGATGGAACTGGAGAGCATTATGCTAAGCAAAATAAGCCAGGGGGCGAAAGACAAATACAATATGATCTCACCTATAAGTGGAACCTAACCAACAATACAAAGATGCAAGGAAAATAAGACCAGCAACACTGAAAGGAAAAGAAATCAACAGAGACAAGAGGGAAGGAGGGAGGGGGGGCGGGGAAAAGAAGGGAAGGGGAAAGTCAAGGAACATATAGCAAGGACTCCTGGACAAAACCAAAGGGGAAGAGCTGAGGGAGAGAAGGAGGGAGGGGGCAAGGGACAGTGGTGGAGGGTAGGCAGAGACAATTGTATTTGAAAAAATAAATTAAAATAAAATTAAAAAAAATTTTACTAAAAAAAAAAATTGGGGCATCGAAGTTTTTACTTAATCTCATTCTTTTTACATTTGTATTTCCTCTCTCCCATACTGAAATTTCTCATGCTTAATGACATCATCATAACTAATCTCTGTTTTATTTGAAACTCAAAGTCTCAGAATAATAAAACCAACACTGTTGTTATAACTCCATTACAATTATAGCCATTCAAAAACTATTTAATATTATTTTGCAGCTCTTTTGGTCCTTAGGATTTATCCCACTAGGGATATACAGTCAAGTTAGCATGTTTAAAGTAACTTAGAACAGTTTTTCTCTGTGTAGATGTCCTACCAACTGAATACACATATAAGTTCATTTGCTTCAATTTACTTTCAACTTTTAGATGTCTAAAAAATATTTAATTATACACACACACACACACACACACACACACACACACGTACCAAAGTTAAATTTACAAAATGGTATAGTGAAAGAAATTTAGCTTCTATATTTTCCTTTCATCTTATTCCTTCTTTCTATAGGGAATCAGTTCTTTAGAGTTAATATTATTTTACCCATCTATTTTGTTAATATAAACATATTATGTACACTTTCTCCCAACATGCTATTTCACTTATTATATCAACGGTTCTCAATTGGTGATGACTTTGTCCCTCAGGGAAGTTTTGCAATATTTGGAGACATTTTTGGTTGTCACAAGTGGGAGGTAGAGTCTTCCTAGGACCTAGTGGGTAGAGGGCAGGGATGCTGCTAAACATCCTACGATGCACAGGACAGTCCCCCACAATAAAGAACTATCTGGTCCAAAATATCAACAGTGTCATTACATTATATCCTGAAGGTCAGTCCACTTCAGTTTAGAGATATTCTTTTGGGGGGTAGAAATGTCATAGCTAACTCAATCAGTCCTCTACTGATGTTTATTTAAAACGTTTCCTGTTCTTGCTCTTAGAGTGTGTAATGAAGACACAGAGTCTGTACCCATGTCTTTTCATATTTTTGCTAACATATATTTGGGACCCTAGATTAGGGGATTGCTGGATCGAAGGAGAAGTGCTTACACAGTTTTGGGAGATACTGGGTTGGTGAAAAAGTTCATTTAGTTTTTCCATAAAATAAAAGACACATTTTTCATTTTTACCAATAAATTTGATTTGCATATTTTGAATATGTTCGCTACCTCTCACGTGGTATAACATTGATTGTCCTCAATGTCTCCATTTGATCGCTATCAACTTCAGCTGGTCTGACTGTGGAGCACCATCCAGTGAGAAATCTCCAGCATAAAATTCCGCAA